GTAAAGCAAGTTAAAGCAGTATTCAATATACAGATACCGAAGATTTCCACAGTCAGTAAAACAAGATGATAATCTTACGGTTCTTCCTTTTATTTGTAATTATTCCTTAACATTCATAGTACAATGTGGTTTCTAAAATTTCAACAAAAATAAAAACAAAGGAATTTAAAGGGAACATTAACCTAAACCTAACCGAAAAGGGAATGATCGATTTGACAGAAAATTTTTTAACAAAAAAAAAAAAAATTTAAAACCCGGATGATGTGATATTCAAAAAAAAGGGAAATTTCCCCTTTTTTGGGGGTATCACAATGGGGGGTTTTTCGTGTGCCCATCCTGGGTTGCTAGAGCAGCGCGGCAGGGCATAGCCCGGCCCCGAGGTTTTCCCGGGGCGGGGGCCGGAACGCGGACACAAAAAAAAGTTACGATTACACGCGGGGCCCACCACAGTCCCCGCGCCCCCCCCACCAACGATAAAGGGGTTCGGGCCGGCGTTGCCCCCCGGCGATGTCGCGGCGCTTAGTAGGGGCCGGCGGTCCGGTGGGCCGTAACTGCGGCGATAAGGAAGGGGAGGGTGTTTATTTTCTCACCTGGGGCCCTCCCCAATGTCAAACCATCAAATTTTAAATGACAGTAAACACCTTTTAAAAGCTAAAAAGAAATCCCCGGTTTTTTGGATCCCTGGAGATTAGGGTCAAATAAGGGAGAAAAATTTTTACCTAAATACTATTGATGTGCCTTTAAAATTTAAAATTGTTTTTAAAAAATTAACAACCCCACCCACGCATTGGTGGGGGGTGGAGGGGGGTTTAACCCGTAAGAAAAAAACCCAAATAAACAAAATATATTCTTGTACTTTATTGTCGGGTCCCCTTACAATAATCCCACTTCACCTACATAAAAGGGGAAAACATCAGGACAAACGGGACTAACAAAATTAGTATCGACTACATTCATCTAATCAAGCAAGTGAATTAAGGGGTTTAAACCAAATTTTTGGGGGTTAAACCCTTGACATATCCACCAAAAAAAGCAGTGTACAAAGGTGTCTAAACCCCAACCATTTACTAAGAACCCAAATATCAAAAACAACCTGGCAAATTTGAATGACTTGTAAACAAAAAAGTTATGAAGTGCACAAGATGTTGGCAACATTTCCCTTTTAAAACTATTTCAAAGGGAAAATTCTCTTTAATGTTAAAAACTTTTTAAAAAGTAGGAAAGGGGAGGAAAACTGACATTTTTGATATTCAGTTTTTCGAAAAGGGAAACAGAAGTTACTGAAATTCGCCCCTCAACAAATTAATTTTCTAGTCATCTTTTTAAAGGGGGAGAGGGAAATGCTTAGCTCTAAGTGAATAAATTTAAAAATTTTTATAATGGGCCCGTAAAGCTACTGCACCCCGCTAAAAAAAAGAAACCCCCTTTCACAGTAGAAATTTGACTCAATCTGCGACAACCCAATCATCTTCAAGGCTACAAAAAAATTTTGTTTACTTTTGTTGGGTTTTTAAAGACCATTTTAGTACAGTAAAAGATCAGCAAATTTCTTTTGCTTTTTTTATACACGGGGGAATCTGAGTTTTAGAGATTTATGAAACCTCGGATCCTGGGAATTTTAATTTCCCCTTCCACAAGGCTTTTTGAATGTCGATCGGGTTGGGATTTCCCGGGAACAAATTTTTTCCCCAAAACGAATTTTCTTTTTGTTGGCTGTTATCACTAATTCTTCTTGGGGCCCCCCATGGTTACTTATTTTTTCAAAAATATAAAAACAAAAATGCGAAGAAACAAAAAATAGCCCTACAGCAAATTTCCCGGCAGGTTGTGTATGTTCAGTCAGGTGCCGAGCCCCCCAGGTCAAACAAAAAAAATTTAAATTTTTTTTTTCCCAGAAAAAAGCTTTTGTTACCGAATGTCAACAGGGGCATTTTGAGTACCGGGTTCCATGAAACCAATTAAAAAAAAAAATTTACCCCAATGACCCAAAAATTTTTTAAGACTTTTTTTTTTTTTTTTTAAGATTTAGGGGAATTTAAAGGATTATAGGAAGTTTAAAAACCCATTTAAACCATTTTATGTGGCAAGTATATCAGCTTGTTTCACAAAGCAGGAGAAAAAAGTAGATGGAAAAATATTAAAATTGCCTATTTACTAAAAGGTACAGACTTAGTGCATTTTTCAAAAACCCCCTGAAAATAAGGGGAAAAGCGTTTTAAATCCTATGATTTAATGAGAAAAAAAAAAAAAAAAAAGTTCCCTTTCCCAAAAGTATTGTATGAGTTTACAGACCCGTAAATTTTTTGGTAACTTTGCAAAAACTGTTTTTAAAAGAAAAAATTTCGCAACAAAAAAAATTAATAAAAAAAAAATTTTTTTTTTACATGCTGGCTGTTCCCCCCAGGCAGGGTGACCCAAAAAAAAAACACTTTCATCATTATTCACATTAAAAACTGCCCTTTTCCCGCCCCACAGTTAACAGATTAGATGTCCCTTTCAAACCCCCCTCCCCTTTTTGGTGCCCGGCACTGTACTTTTTCCCCGTCCCCCCGGGAACCCCAAGTCCCCATTTAAACCCGGGAAAAAACAAATTTTTAAAATACAAAATAAAAACATTAGATTTAAAACACTAACCTGGTGGAGGTGATCGGGCCCACCATATCGCAGGTAATCAGGGGGGGGGGTGGCAGGGGGGAAGGCCCCCTCGTTTTTTACAAGTCATCTAGAATGGGTGGTGGAGGTGGGGGGTGTTCACCGCGGGCTCATTTTGGCCTTTTCCTAAAACGGTCAATCGATCAAATCCGTTTGAAATCATCCTGAGGAGAATTTAAAAATTTTATCATAGGGGTTTAAGTTTTGATAATTTTTGTGTATTTATAATAAAGTAAGTTTATAATATAGCAATTTCTTAAAATTAACCCAAAATAACCCAGGTAAATTGGGAAAAGAGCAAATAAAAGAACAATAAAGGAACACCTCCACTTTTGGTAAGCAAAACATGGGTTTTTTATACATTTGCTAACAATAAATGTACTTACCCAAAATCCATAAAAAATTATCTATAGGGGCTACTGTTTATGCTAGGACATCATGCCCCTTGCAATATAAGTGCCCGTGGTTCCCCGAGTTTCGAACTTTCTTCGTTCCCGAAGGGTGTTTTAAGGGGCCCTTACTGAAGAATTAGTTTCCCATAAGGAATAATGTAAATTTTGATTTGTCCGTTTCAGACCCCCAAAAATACACTTACAAAAAGCACTGACAATAATACACTTACACAATTGTTAGAGTTGGGGAGAATTAAAGAAAATCAGGGTACCCCTGTTTTTTTTTTTAAGTACAGTGGAACCTCAAAAAACGAAAGCTCCCAAAACCAAAACCCAAAAAGTAAGTGTATTTTTTCCCCCCCCCCCCCTTAAAAATTCTTTTTTAAGTGTATTTTTAAGGGGCGAAATGGAATAATTTTAATTTACATTATCCTGATGGGGGAAAAAATTCTTCGGTTTTTGGCACTGAACAGACTTTGGACCGAAGAAAGTTTCCCAAAATTTTTTGGGGTTTCCAAATGTTTATTATGAAGTGTCAGTCACCCAAATCTTCCCCTATTGGTATGTTTGCCCATTAGATTTTAACATTAAAAAAAAAAAGGAAGGGGGTTTTTTTTTTCATCAGAAATTTGGGTATTGGAAATCTTGCCATAGCAAATTGGGAGGATGAAAATTTTTTAAAAAAGGGGTAAATTTCCCGAAACACTTTTGTATTTCCTAGAATCCAAATCCCCCGTTTTTTCAAGCCTTTTTCATAAAGGTTTTTAAATACATACTGGGTGTAGGAATATGAAACTTTACCCCGAAACGCAACATACGCTCCCTGCAAGCTGGGTGGTGGTGGCGGGGGGGATAGGGGTCGTATCTACTTCCAAAGGGTCCGGCCCTCCCAAAGCTCAAAGATTGGAAAAAAAAGCCCCCCAAAACCGACCCTCCCCAAAGGGGCCTTCCCCTTTGGGCCAGTGTCCACCAAAATCCAAAAACGGTTTAAAACAGCTGGAATTTTCCCCTTTCCCGCTTGCTGCCCGAATCGGGAAGTAGGGGCTCTTGGACTCCAAGCGCAAACCATGCGCCATTTGCCTTTCCCGTTTCCCCGAATTGCTTCTTTTGGGGGGAGCCCTTTATGTCCATGTGCTGAAAAATTTAAAAAAGTCGAAATTTAAAAAGGGAAAACTTTAGTGAAAAAATTATTTTATATTCCTATTTTTTTAAAAATAGTTTTTGACGATGTAATACAGCCCCTCCCGCTTTTAACCCACCCCCAAATTCCGGTTTTCCCAAGACCACATCGGGAAATAAATTCTTTATAAAATGAGGAGATACTATAAAAGGTGAAAAAAAAAATGGTTTAAAAAAACCGCCCCCAATGGGGAAACAAACACATATGCAGTTTAATGGTCCTTTTTTTGACAAACGTTTTTGCCCAAACAGTGGGCTTTTTCAAGGGCACAAACAGATACCACGTACCCTTTCCCCCCCAGGTAGAAACTGTTTGTGACTTTAAAAAAAACCCCCCGGTTTTGGGCGAAACGTTTTTTCAATTTTTTTTTTTTTAAAAAAATCACATTTAAATGCATTTTTGTTTTTTATGTTTCCATAATAAATTGGGAGTGGGGGTTTTTGTAACCATCCCTTTTATATTGTTTTTTAAAGTCACCTTTGCCCATTTATAAAATTTCGGTATTTTTTTGAATAGAGGAAAAAAAAACTTTAATATACATTATTAGGTATGCATAGTGGTCAGAGTCGGTCATAAGTCCGAGTCGTTGGTAAACCAGTGCGTCGCGAAGTGAGGAGAGGCTATATAGTAATTTTTTTTTTTTTTTCAACAAGTCGGCCATCTCCCACCGAGGCAGGGAGACCCAAGAAAGAAAATACCCAAAAAGAAAATGCTTTCATCATCATTCAACACTTTCACCTCACTCACACATAATCACTGTTTTTGCAGAGGTGCTCAGAACACAACAGTTTAAAAGCATATACGTATAAAGATACACAACATATCCCTCCAAACTGCTAATATAGTAATACAGTGGACCCTCGGTTAACGATATTTTTTCACTCCAGAAGTATGTTCAGGTGCCAGTACTGACCGAATTTGTTCCCATAAGGAATATTGTGAAGTAGATTAGTCCATTTTAGACCCACAAACATACACGTACAAACACACATAAATACACTTACATAATTGGTCGCATTCGGAGGTGATCGTTATGCGGGGGTCCACTGTATACGCAAAGAAAAAGCGACAAAATAATTTTGTATTACAATATACTTACAATAAAAGCATAGTTGGTCAAAATGTCAGCCTCTACTACACTGCCATACACCTCAAAGAGGCTCTTCAGCTCCTCAAGTTTGGAATCTTTATGAAGATTGCCAACAAATATTTTTGTCTTCTGATTACCGCCCTTCCTAGCACCAGTGGATGCCTCAACCACCATTGGCTGTAACAAGCCTTTCATTAAAACCTAAGTAATATTTGCTCTTCTTAAAATCACTGCAACAAAAACAAAATCTTAATAAATACATAATCCAAAGGACTAAAATTAATAGCAAAATCTTACTAGACTGTTAAAGAAAAGTAATGTGCAAGTCTAGCAAGGAAATTTTTATGTTTTGGAATTTTCTATAGCGTTTATAAACTCTTTTGTGTGTGCAACTTTATTTTTGACCCTTAAACTGTCCAAACATAGATCTACGTTCACGTGCGTAGCGCTCCGAACGTACCTCTACATTTTTTTTACATTTGAAAGCATGTAAAATAAAACGTAATTACGTTCGGAGCAATACGCATGTGAACGTAGATCTATGTTTGGACAGTTTAAGGGTTAAGTCTGTGTTGTTGGGAAATCAAGCTCATGGACCCTGCAGGGGCCCAAACCCCAGGTCTTGGACCCTATCTCTAAATCATTAATGGAATGTATTCCCAACCCTAATGGAAAGGCATTTCCCTAAACTATACTGGAATTTTATATTTGAATATTAGCAAATACAGTGTATATTTCCTCAAGTGAATTGTATTCAGTGTTGTCCTGCCTAAGACTATCTCTGCTTCAAGTCTCCCACACTCTTGTTACCATTTATACCTGGCAATGTCTACAGTACTCCACTAATGTTTTTACAAATGTTTATTAAAAATTTACAAGCTTGTAGTTTTTTAGACATAAAAAGTGAAGGAGTATAAGAGATGATTTATGGCCAAATGCTAAAACCTAAAGAGTAATATTATTTAATATTCACTGGATTGTAAGGATTTATTCACCAATACTATAAAATAAAGCTTCACCCTTTCACAATCCTGCCTCGATGCACCTTCAATCCTGCCTTGTGCACCTTCAATCCCGCCACGCGCAACCCTCCATCCTGCCTCGTGTACCTTCCATCCTGCCCGTGTACCCTCCATCCTGCCTCGTGCACCTTCAATCCTGCTCGTGCACCTTCAATCCTTCCCTCAATGCACCTCAATCCTGCCTTGTGCAACCTTCAATCCTCCCTTGTGCAACTTCAATCCCGTCTCGTCCCACCCTCCAGCCGCCTCGCGCACCCTTCATCCTGCCTCGTATACCCTCCAATCCAGACTCGTATACCCTCCTTTCCTGCCTCGTGCACCCTCATCCATGCCTTTGCGAAACCCTCAATCCTGCCTCATGCACTCTCAATCCTTCCACGTGTACCCTCAATCCTGCCTTGGGGCACCCTCAATCTGCCTCGTGCACCCTCAACCCTGCCTTATGTACCCTCATCCTGCTTCCGAAACCTCAATTCTGCCTTCCGTACCCTCAATCCCTGCCTTCCTTTACCTAACCCTTTCCCCTTCCGTACCTCAATCCTGCCTTCCGTACCCTCAAATCCTGCCTTCCAACCCTCAATCCTGCCTTCCGTACCCTCAATCCTGCCTTCGTACCTCAATCCTACCTTCCGTCCCCTCAATCCTGCCTTATGTACCCTCAATCTTGCCTTCTGTACCCTCAATCCTGCCTTATGTACCCTCAATCTTGCCTTACGTACCTCAATCCTGCCTTATGTACCTCAATCTTCCCTTTTACGTACCCTCAATCCTGCCTTCCGTCCCCTCAATCCTGCCTTATGTACCCCTCAATCTTGCCTTACGTACCCTCAATCCTGCCTTCCAAAACCCTCAATCCTGCCTTATGTCCCCTCAATTTTGCCTTACGTACCTCAATCTTGCCTTACGTACCCTCAATCTTGCCTTACGTACCCTCAATCTTGCCTTACGTACCCTCAATCCGCCTTGTGTCAGGTGGGAAATTTCACAAAAACAATATTAAAACAAATCTCACTTTTGGTTACCCCTCAAGCAACTACAATTTTACACTTTTGAATCTCTAAACATGAAGTTACTAGCAAATATATATATAAAAAAGAATCATTTTGTAAACTGTTATTAAAGGAATTAAGGCACAACTCTGATTCTCAAACCTTTCACTATCAAAATGGTTACAAAAAATAATTTATGATATCCACTAGAAAATTTACCTTTCCGTGCAGGGAATGTCCATTGAGTGCTTCTATGGCTGCTGACCCCCCTTCCCTCCTTCTCCATGTGAACAAATCCATAGTTTTTTACCACATCAGCTTCAACCACCGTTCCATGAGCTTCAAAGAGTTCCCTGATGTCGGAGCCAGTTGCACGATCACTCAAGTTACCAACAAAAAATTTTAAAAGTATTTCCCCTTACAGGCATCTTGATCACAATCTACCAGGAAAAAATTAGCTTTAATTTAAACGTGTCAAATGTAAATATTGCAACTTGCAGTTTTAAAATTGCAAGAGTCCTGATTTAAATACACATACCAAAAGTTGCAACAGCAAATTCTGTGTTAACTTAAAAACACCAAGATTTTTTGAAATCTATTTACAT